TCTTTTGCTTCCCAGATCAAAAACAGCTTTCTGTCCTCCGGAATTCAGGAGGCTCCCAAAAAATGGATTGGGACCTCCACCAAAATCTGGGACACCAAAACAGATCACAGTTGAATGCAAATCAAGGTGATCAGCTGAAACATTACCCTGGTCATTCCACAGATATATAAACCCATTTTTCCTACTTCCAACAGACCTCACTACCTCTGAGGATGCTTGCCATAGATGCAGGCGAAACGTCAGGAGAAAAATTGCCTCTAGAACATGGCCATATAGCCTGGAAAAACCTACAACAACCCAGTGATCCCGGCCATGAAAGCCTTCGACAATACAGATCACAGTTTACCTAGATTGCAGAAGCCTACTGTTTATTCTCCCTTTTCTATAGAAAAATCTCCATCAAGAATGGATAAAAGTCTAAAGACAAAGGACAAAATAGTCACTGGTTCTCATCCAGGAGGAAAGCTCCTGAGCAAGAATTTGCAAATGGGGTCTATTTGTGTTTTATGTAGCCTGTTTCCCTCTTTGATTCTAACTGGAAACTGAGCACACCTGCTTTGCCAATCAGACTTCTGGCTCTTAAGATAGGAAGACAGGGGATATTACTTAATTATGCATATGTAACTGATGTGGAATATTGACAATAGTCGCTAAGCTCTATGCTACATATTGATTGCATTCGTGGCAGGACTGAATTTATCCGGAAAAACCAAGCAGGGTTCAGGTCAGGCCATTTAACTCCAAATAATAGGTTTTTTATTCCACCTAATTCCTAAGCATGTTATTATGAATAGGAACCATTCATTTGGTGATTTTGTTGGCTTGTCTTCCACCTTTGAATCAATGAGCCAAGAAAAGCTGCGACTGAGATTGGCATGAATCAATACAGGCCTAAGATTTTCTCCAGCCAAAGAAAACCCGCGTCTTTATTGGTTCCTGCGAGCTTCAACCACATCCGCTCTTGGTTCGTTTATTGAAAAGTTCCTGACATCTTCTTGGGATGTAGTTTGCTCTCAAGGGAGGGAGGAATGGGGTGGATATTGTCATCTTTCCTGTTCATTTTCTCCATCAGCATTGCCACATTTCGAAAAGTGTGCAATTTCCCCCCGTCAACCATCGTAAATCACAAAGTATCTTGTTACTATATTCAGGCAACAACATCTCATTATCACATGATAATTATAGGACCTAGGAGAGGACTGGAAACCTGAATGTTTGTTAACAAGCCAATTAAAAAATAAAATTACTGTCTGTGGAAAGCGTAGCCCTAATGTTACATTGACAAACATATGGCTGACCTGGTTAAGTCACACAAGTATTTTGATATCCGCTAATAATTCGGCTTTCCCTTGCAATCTGAAGTTTTGAGAAGTTAATGTGAAAAATAGTTTTGTTGTCCAGATGATTTTCAACTTTGCAGAAATCTGGAGGAATTGGTAGCATTTCTAAAAAATCTTAGAAACGAAAACAGTTGAGCATTCGTCAAAATATGCAGTTGTAATATAGCATCTCCCATCAGCAAATGACCTTCTTTGAGTGTTCTGTGGCAGACTGTGGTGGACCAAATAAGGAACTCCACCATAATGAGAGCTCTGACTATTTATTCAGCTATTCCAATACACCCTTCTATGTTTAGCAGTATCCTTCAAGACGCTCAACCTGAGATGCATCTTTCCCATCACTTGCTTACCGAACCCTTTCAATTGCAGATACCAGAAATTGTAGGTGTCAGAAACCAAAACCTGGACTTTCTTCATGCAAAGCATGTGGTTTCTTCTTGAACCCTTCTGTTCCATTTCACCTGTTCTCCATCTACATCTATCCCAAACAAAGTGGGTTCACTTTCAAAAGAACTGAACCACCAGATGCTGTGGCTCATAGAATCATAGAATCAAAGAGTTGGAAGAGACCTCATGGGCCATCCAGTCCAACCCCCTGCCAAGAAGCAGGAATATTGCATTCAAATCACCCCTGACAGATGGCCATCCAGCCTCTGCTTAAAAGCTTCCAAAGAAGGAGCCTCCACCACACTCCAGGGCAGAGAGTTCCACTGCTGAACGGCTCTCACAGTCAGGAAGTTCTTCCTAATGTTCAGATGGAATCTCCTCTCTTGTAGTTTGAAGCCATTGTTCCGTGTCCTAGTCTCCAAGGAAGCAGAAAACAAGCTTGCTCCCTCCTCCCTGTGGCTTCCTCTCACATATTTATACATGGCTATCATATCTCCTCTCAGCTTCTCTTCTTCAGGCTAAACATGCCCAGTTCCCTAAGCCGCTCCTCATAGGGCTTGTTCTCCAGACCCTTGATCATTTTAGTCGCCCTCCTCTGGACACATTCCAGCTTGTCAATATCTCTCTTGAATTGTGGTGCCCAGAATTGGACACAATATTCCAGATGTGGTCTAACCAAAGCAGAATAGAGGGGTAGCATTCCTTCCTTAGATCTAGACACTATGCTCCTATTGATGCAGGCCAAAATCCCATTGGCTTTTTTTGCCGCCACATCACATTGTTGGCTCATGTTTAACTTGTTGTCCACGAGGACTCCAAGATCTTTTTCACACGTACTGCTCTCGAGCCAGGCGTCACCCATTCTGTATCTTTGCATTCATTTTTTCTGCCAAAGTGGAGTATCTTGCATTTGTCACTGTTGAACTTCATTTTGTTAGTTTTGGCCCATCTCTCTAATCTGTCAAGATCGTTTTGAATTCTGCTCCTGTCCTCTGGAGTATTGGCTATCCCTCCCAATTTGGTGTCATCTGCAAACTTGATGATCATGCCTTCTAAACCTTCATCTAAGTCATTAATAAAGATGTTGAACAGGACCGGGCCCAGGACGGAACCCTGCGGCACTCCGCTTGTCACTTCTTTCCAAGATGAAGAAGGAAGCATTAGTGAGCACTCTCTGTGTTCGTCCACTTAACCAATTACAGATCCACCTCACCGTAGTTTTGCCTAGCCCACATTGGACTAGTTTCCTTGCCAGAAGGTCATGGGGGACATTGTCGAAGGCCTTACTGAAATCCAGGTACGCTACATCCACGGCATTCCCCGCATCTACCCAGCTTGTAGCTCTATCGAAAAAAGAGATCCAGATTAGTCTGGCATGACTTGTTTTGATAAATCCATGTTGACTATTAGCGATGACTGCATTTGTTTCTAAGTGTTTGCAGACCGCTTCCTTAACAATCTTTTCCAGAATCTTGCCCGGTATCGACATGAGGTTGACCGGACGGTAGTTGTTTGGGTCATCCTTTTTTCCCTTCTTGAAGATTGGGACCACATTGGCCCTCCTCCAATCTGCTGGAACTTCTCCCGTTCTCCAAGAACTCTCAAAGATGGTTGCCAATGGTTCCGAAATGACTTCCGCTGGTTCCTTCAATACTCTGGGGTGTAGTTGATCTGGCCCTGGGGACTTGAACTCATTAAGAGCGGCCAGGTATTCCTGGACGACTTCTTTCCCAATTTGGGGTTGGATGTCCTCCAATCCCTCATCCACTCCATCTTGCTGAGGTTGAAGACTCTCTTTTTGTGAGAAGACCGAGGCAAAGAAGGCATTAAGTAGTTCTGCCTTTTCCCTATCCCCTGTCAGCATTGCCCCATCTTCTCCTCGAAGAGGTCCTATCGCCTCCTTGTTTTTCCTTTTTCTACTGACATAAGAATAGAAGCCCTTTTTATTGTTTTTAATGTCCCTGGCAAGCCTGAGCTCGTTTTGTGCTTTAGCCTTGCGGACCTTTTCCCTACAGGTGTTGGCTATTTGTTTGAATTCTTCTTTGGTGATTTCTCCCTTTTTCCACTTCTTGTGCATGTCTCTTTTGTGTCTTAGCACAGTTAGAAGTTCTTTGGACATCCATTCTGGCTTCTTTGCACTTGTCCTATTTTTTCTCTTTGTTGGCACGGTTTGCAATTGCGCCTTGAGTATTTCACTCTTGAGAAATTCCCATCCATCCGTAACTCTCTTGTCTTTTAGTATCTGTGTCCATGGAATGCTGCTCAGCGTTTCCTTCATTTTTTGGAAATCAGCTCTCCTAAAGTCCAAAATGCGGGTTTGACTTGTCTTAGTTTCGGCCTTCCTTTGTACCTCAAATTGCAGGCTCAGACAAAAGAAGATGAGGGGATTGGGGTTTCAGAGCCTGGGAGAGTGGTGGATGGTTCTTTCAATGAGGGAAATGAGGGAATTTCACATCAGGATTCTGTCTGTGAGGCAGAGCTTGAAAGTGGACTCCAAAAATATGTTTTGGAGTCCAGCAGATAGGGAAATGACCTTTTGCCCACAAGGAGTTTAACAACCACTGATAAAGATCTGCCAGACCAAGATAGCTCATCTGAGGGAACAGCCGGGCTAGACAGGGATAGCAGGCTTGATCTTAGGCGAAAACCATGAAGCTCAGGAAATCCAAAAGACTCGGTGAGAAAGAAGTGCAGAGAAAGTTTCACAAGCCAGAAAGTCAAGGTAAAAGAAATGCCTTCATGTTTTGTGGCCCTTAAATTAGAGAGCGTCTCTGAGAATTCAGATCAGGCAACACTGTGTAATAGTAAGGATATCAAGTCCTGTTTCCAGTTCATGTTTTTAGTCTAAGTTTCTGGGAGTATTGATTCATGTTTTAAGAAGTTATTATAGTCTTGGTTTTTCTGGATTCATGTTCATTTTTTGATGTTTGTTTTCTAGGATTATGCTCATGTTATGATTATTGTTTCCCTGTACCATTTGGATGATTTGGATTATTGCCTTTGAAGTGTTTTACTCCTCACCAGCTTGGTTGGGTTTTTACTTACTGATTATCTTTTCTAATTACCTGCTGGATTTTGCCTTTCTTATTCCTTTTGGTGATTTTTCCCTTTTTATATGTCTCTCTTCAATAAACCATCTTACTACTGCTTTTGGATTCTTGGTTGGTGCTAAGGGCAAAGTGAACTCTGGCTGGGGGGCAACACCAGGAGCATTCATAGCTGATATGTGTGGGTACTAAGATTGCCTGACTTTTTTTTTTAATTTTGTTATAGAGCTCTGCACCCTGGACTGTGGCAGCCATGGCGTCTGTGCCAGAGGAATGTGTCAATGTGAAGAAGGATGGATAGGCCCCACTTGTGAGGAACGGACATGTAATTCCCACTGCACTGAACACGGACAGTGCAAAGACGGCAAGTGTGAATGCAGCCCTGGATGGGAAGGCGATCACTGCACCATTGGTGAGTTTTGAGTGTTCCTAAATCAAATCAGTTTCTTTTGGTAGAAGGAAGGTCTCTAGACAAAGAAAATGCTAAAAGTTTTCAACCAAACTTATGTGTCTGATGGAGTGACACTTCAGAGAAGTAGGCTGATGTTGTTCCTTTTGTGTGTCATCATTTGAGACATGCAAAGAGTGCCGTAATGTCTGTCAGGGCTAGCAGAAGTATCACGGAAGCACTGAATAATGGACTCTGAAGTCACCGGTAAAAAGCAGGTTTGAGCTTTACTTGAGCAGTTTCAAAAACACACCATACATCAAGAACAGACAGACGTGAAGTACACAGAACTAAAGAGATAGGCATGAAAGCAAAACTACAGCTGGCAAGGAGTTATCTCTCTGACACTCCCTAATGTTTCATACACCAAGAATTCAGGGTCACAGGGTCACATTCTCACAGCTAGTTACTTTGCTGTTTTTTAACCCTTCTGTGCAAACATACATCCTGGCAATATAATTCTATTACAATCACTATTCTTCTACATAAAATTACATTTAAACATACATCATACATGAAATACACACTGACAATGTCAACCCTCCATTCTTTTCTTCCCCAAGCTGCACATGCCCATCTCCTTCAACCTTTCCTTGTATGTGTTGAGTCTTGTAGGGAAGACAAAGACCAGTCTCTTAAATAAATCTTGTCAAGGCTTGGTCATCATAAGTTGACTTGAAAGCTCATGACAAAGCAACTATATATCTTACAAGCTTACCTAAGATTAGTAGCTTAGTTAGTAGTTAACTAAACCTATCAACAAATCCTAGCATTAGCTGTCAAAGGATGGGAAAGGTCATTCCCGCTGTTGGAAAATAATGTCTATTTCCCATTGCCTGGCATAGCTCCTTTACTTGGAGCAAGCCCCATTTAAGACAATGGCATCTCCTACTGAGTTAATGCCCTTAATTACACTGTGTGATACGCAAATCATTTTGCACAAGTTAGGAATTTAGAGAACATCTAAAGCAGTTTTCCTTGTAGGTTGTATTCATTTGCAGTAGTTATTTGCATGATTAATGCTTAGACAACTTTTAGTACATTCAGCTAGGAATAAGTGGTTATGAATTAAGTTCAAATGTATTTTTCTCATATCCAAAATGGATAGGGTTTGATTTAAAAAAACGTGAATATGGGGAAGCCAAAGCTAATGGATTTGTCTATCAAGACCCATGGTTTGAGTGTCCCATTCTTATTCAACCACATTACTGTATATATTCGAGTATAAGCCTAGTTTTTCAGCTCTTTTTTTAGGCTGAAAATGTCCCCCTTGGCTTATACTCAAGTCAAGGTTATTTATTATTTTTACTCTGTTATTATTATTATTATTATTATTTGTAATACATTTATTATTTTACTCTATTATTATTACATTTATTATTTTACTTTATTATTGTTATTACATTTATTATTTTACTCTATTATAACTCTTATTACTACATTTACATTATTTTAATCAATAATAATAATAAATTATTACATTTATTATCTTACTCTCTTTATTATTATTGCAAGGATACATAAGCACATTTACACTGAAGATGAAAATAATGGTTTCATCAGAGTTGGACAGTTATCTTAAATTATAGTTTTATGTAAATATTCAAAAACATTGGACCTACTGATACCTCAATTAATGTAATTTTATTGGTACCTATTTTCATTTTGAAATTGACCAGTACCTGCTACATTTCCCACCCTCAGCTTATACTTGAGTCAGTACGTTTTCCCAGTTTTGGGGGGTAAAATTAGATACCTCGGCTTATGTTCAGGTCGGCTTATGCTTGAGTATATACGGTACTTAGTAGATTTCCACCCTTTTTACCCTCTGAAATGCTTCTCCTCTTTGAAAGCAACAGAATAGACTACTATAGCTTGAATATGACTTGTTTGTTTTTCAAGAATGTACCAATATTTGCAACACTTGGGATGGAAAAGAGTTGAGGTCCCAAAAAGCTGAAATGTAGGGAAAAGCCAAAATGGGAGTTTTCCCCATCCAGTCTTTCAATGAATAATCCCCACAATTTTTCAGTTTCAGAACACAAAGAACTGAAATTTAAAATTAAATGATTAAAATTAAATCATTTTCCAGAAGCTCTAGCTGCTGACCATGAGAATGTCTACTATTTTACACTGGTTTTGGCTCATAATATTCCGTCCGATGCACTGAAAATCATATTACAGTGTTGGTATGATGGTAGGGTAGCCAACTCTACATCATTGTCCCAGAGCTGCCACTATATGTCACAGACAATAATAAATAATACTTTACAAATGATGTGTGTGTGTGTGTGTGTGTGTGTGTGTGTATGGCCCTATATAAACAAACTCTATTTCATTAGATTTGTCCGCTGCCCTTTATAGCTTGGCACAGGCATAGAACAAATCAAAAAGCTGTGTCATTATTAAATATATCATATTAAAATATATCTGGGTTGCTGTGAGGTTCCAAGTTATATGGCCATGTTCCAGAAGCATTTTCTTCTGATGTTTTGCCCACATCTATGGCAGACATCCTCAGAGGTTGTGAGATCTGTTGGAAACTAGGCAAGTGGAGCTTATATATCTGTGGAATGTCCAGGGTAGTAGAAAGAACTCTTGTCTGTTTGAGGCAAGTGGGAATGCCTCCAGGCAGGAAGCAGCCAGGATTTGAAGCTAGAAGGTCATTCTGTGCAAATAAAGGTGGCCAACTGCAACATTCACACTTGGCCATGCTGGCACAAAGGTTAAACTCTTGTGCCGGCAGGACTGCTGACCAAAAAGTTGGTGGTATGAATCCAGGGAGTAGGGTGAGCTCCCTTCTGTCGGATCCAGCTTCCCATTCGGGGACATGAGAGAAGCCTTTCCACAGGATGGTAAAACATCTAAACATCCCTGGGCAACGTCATTGCAGACAGCCAATTCTCTCACACCAGAAGTGACTTGCAGTTTCTCAAGTCACTCCTGACATGAGGAAAAAAAACTTTATTTAAAATTCAGCATCAGCCCATCTTTAGCAATATGTATTCTTTCTCCCTATATAGAACCCTGAAAACATTCTCCCTAGTTTCCCTGTTGAATAAATTAATGGTCAAACCATTTGCATAAATATATTTAACATTTATCACATATTTCCATAAATCCGAAAAATTTGTTTATTTTTGCACAGAGCACTTTTGGGGGAAAAATATTCCCAACAATTGCATTAAGTTGGGATGGGAAACTCCATTCATCATGTTTTATTTTTCCTTGCAGTAATCCTAAAAGATGCCTAGATGGTATCCAACTCTGTTAAACAGGGCTTAACACAAGGGAGGAAGCACATGTTTAAAGCTTAAACCAAGTCCTATTGTTAACGAGAGTGCTTTGAAATAAGCAATTATAATCTACAATACTGTGTTTAATTGGTATCTTTCTAGATGGCTGCCCAGGTCTGTGTTATGGTAATGGAAGGTGCACCCTTGACCAGAATGGATGGCACTGTGTCTGCCAGGTGGGCTGGAGTGGAATGGGATGCAATGTTGTCATGGAGATGATGTGCGGAGATGGCACCGATAATGATGGAGGTACAGTCACAGAGTTCCTCTCTCCCCATAAGTATAAGGTTGTGTAATTAGATCTGTGGCATTATCTGTTTTGTTGTTCTTTCTATGCACTTTCCCAATAAGCATTTCACCCAAAAGCTCTTGCTCATTATGGTTGTTGCCCTGTTAATGGTGATTGTACAGCACGACCCCTTTATTAGGATTGGCACCTGCACTTTTATTTATCAACATGAAGTCCTGGAACGTACTCCCTGTGGATATAGAGGAGGTTGTACAGTTTTATTGTTCAGTATATTATTGTCATCAGTGGTTCTATATTGTGCCATCAGATCATATTGTTCACTTGTTATTGCATGCCAGTTTATTGCACAACAAGCAAACTTTGGACCAGGGAAAAACTGTACAGCCCAAATTCTTAATCTGACTGAGCACATTGAGGAAGGATATAAGATTGTGTTATGGGGACAGTTTTTGTCAACCTTACAGCAGCTTATGACACAGTGCAACATAGGAAAATGCTTCAGAAAGTCTACCAGATTACCCAGGACTATGATTTTACAAAAACTGTCCAGACCCTCCTAGAAAACCACAGTGGAGTTTCAAGGCAGGAAAAGTATATGGAGGAGGCAAAAGAACGGTTTTGTCACGATGACTGGGCTCTGCCTTATTCAGGTAGAGATGAACCAAACAATCATCCAGTTTGTATCAGTTTAATTAAAACAGCACTTACTTCCTGGCTGTTTTAATAGTCCAAAATATAAAACATAAAGATAGCACTCAGCCACAGAATATAAAACAAAAACAGCAAACACTGTTGCAGTTTCAAGATAACTCCATAGTCAAAAGGTCCAGTCCAGTGGTCACATGGTGAGAGTTCAATAAACAAAGTCCAGAGATCAAGAGTCTTTACCGTAATCAAAAGATTACTCAGATTTAGAACTATGACTTTACATTAACTCTTCCATCACCAACTGCTAGGCCTGCCACCACCAACCACTATCAACTGCAGAACATGATACATGACAGATTTACCCCAAGGCAGCATTCTTGCACCAGCCTTGTTTAACATCGCTACTAATGGATCAGCCACAGCCACCACTCACAAATAGCTATATATGTGCTGATGACCTTGGCTTAATAACACAAGCAAAGAACTAAGAAACTGTCAGAATCCAATGTCTTGAAAGATCTCTCCAGCTACTACAAAGATAACTACCTGAAGCCTAACCCTTCTACCTATGTAGCTTTCCACCTACGGATCTTCGAAGCTAATTTATTTATTATTTGTTTATTTAGAGCTTTTATAACCCGGTCTTCTCGACCTCTGAAGAGGGACTCAGGCCGGCTAACAACAGAAAATTCATACACAAATAAGCTAAAACATAATAACATCATAATACATTAATACATTAAAATACATTAAAATACAGATCAAATAATTAGATAAAGCCAAATCGTCACAAATTAATCAGCTAACAGGAAATTGAAAGTTACCTGAGAAGGCCAAGAACATGAACATTGTTTCCATCCTAAATATCTTGGTGTCACCTTAGACCATACACTAACTTATAGGGAACACTGTCTGAACACCAAGCACAAAGTAGCTGCACGCAGTAACATCTTGCGGAAACTGGCAGCACATGGGATGCAGGCCCAAAATGAGTATGAATATCAGCCCTGACCTTGACTTACTCAACTGCCAAGTATGCCTGCCCTGTTTGGCACAAGTCTGCCCATTCAAAGCAGGCCAACATAGCATTGAAGAAAACATGCAGAATAATCGCAGGCTGTATTAAACCTACACCTTTTGATAAACTCTGCAAGCAAGCTGGTATTGCCCCCCTCCCCTCTTCCGATGTGTGATGGGAAGTTGCTGCTAACTGTTAAAGAAATAAGGTTGAACACTATGGAACTATGGAAGCCACCCACTACATGGCTATCAGCCTCCTCCCAGTCAATTCAAATCAAGGAAAAGTTTCATGAGAACCACCATTCCTCTTAATGTTCCCCCAGCAACAATAACAATAGTATCCCTCTGGGCAGCTAAACCGGGAAATCCCAACTGGATGCCCCCCTCCCCCCGCCCCACGAGGAGCAAACCAAGAATGGGCAACTTGAAAGTCCCTAAACAGACTCAGAAGTGGAGTGGGCAGATCAAAAGACAACCTGGCAGAATGGCACTACCTAAAAAAAATCCTCCACCTTGTGCGACTGTGGAGCAGAACAAACAACTCCACATCTGTATGCTTGTCCACAATGTCCTGCCTCGTGTACAGAGGAAAAATTGTTTAAAGCTACAGACAATGTGGTCGCTGTTTCCCATTTTTGGTCAAAAAGTATTTAGCCTCTTGTGCTTCTTCTATTTTTATCAGTTTTTATACTAATTTATGCAATGCTTTTGATACAAAATACATAAATAAACTTTCTGATTCTCTACATCTCAACTAGCCTGGCCAATGACAAACTAAGGTCAAAAAATCTCATTTTTCCACTTCCAAGAGATATTGAAAAGATGTTGTTTCTTTTGGGTTCTAGTATTTTTTATTATTATTATTATTATTATTAATAATAATAATAATAATAATAATAATAATAATAATAATAAAGGAAAAAAGAGGAAAAACAAAAAACTATTTAAACTATTTTATTGAGAATAATGGGCTCCCCGGTGGCGCAGTGGGTTAAAGCGCTGAGCTGCTGAGCTTGTTGACCAAAAGGTTGCAGGTTCGATTCCGGGGAGCGGCATGAGCTTCCGCTGCCAGCCCTAGCTTCTGCCAACCTAGCAGTTCGAAAACATGCAAATATGAGTAGATCAATAGGTGCCCCTCCGGCGGGAAGGTAACGGCGCTCCATGCAGTCATGCCGGCCACATGGCCTTGGAGGTGTCTATGGACAACGCCGGCTCTTCAACTTAGAAATGGAGATGAGCACCACACCCCAGAGTCAGACATGACTGGACTTAATGTCAGGGGACAACCTTTTTTTATTGAGAATAATAATAAAAACAACAACAACAACAACAATAATAAAGGAAAAGAGAGAGAGAGAAACAAAAAGAAGGTAAAAAGACGTTTCTTTTTACAGGGTAAAACATTCAGGATTTTTTTAAATTACAAACTTTTAAAAACTTTTTTAAACTTTCAAAAAAATCACAGTTTTATTCAGAACTGTGTAACTTTCTTAATAGCTGTGCAGTTGTAATTCTACCCCTGGCTGTGATTGTTTCACCTTGCACACCTTTTTGAGACAGAAGGAGTAGACAATGAAGGAATTGATACCAGGAATTAATAAATAGAAATGAATTGTGTAGTAGAGTTTTTGGGAGTGGTTGATAGAAGGCTTAAAGCATGCAACAAAAATCACCACCAATCTCTTTCCAGCTTCTTGTCTAAGGAATCCCTCAAACAATGGACTTCCTGGGCTTTGAGCCCGTGCTCCCTTTCTTCCTTCACCTGCCTGCCTGCTCCCATTCAACAATTCCTTCTCATTCCTGCTAAGTCACTTCATCCCTGCCAAACCTGCTTCTCTCCAGCCACCTGCTCCTCTGATGATTTCCAAAAATCAGAATAAACAGGGAGGTGAAGAATGAAAGGAATCGCAGACTCAGACTCTCCTTGTTGATTTTCAAGCCTCTTAATTCTCCCGACTCCTTTAGGACAGAGTTCAAGATCTCACTTGAATGCAGAGCATCTTCTAAAAATATTACCAAGTCATCAGCAAATGCTTTTTGTTTAAAATGTCGTCCCTCTTTGTATACTCTTTTTATATATATTTTTCAGCTCGAATGAATCTCTTTGGCATAGGAGATATCATTTTCTGCAGAGGGATTAATAGTTTTGTGTTGAAATATTATCTCCCACATAGGAGGCTGTTTTCAGCACAAAATAACCACTGACGAATTTTGCGCAGAATAAGTCCTGTATTGCAAATGGCCTTCAAAAATTGTGTGGTTTTGGAAGACTTTTTTGCCATGGGGAAAAATTGCTGAAATTATTTGTTGCTACCTGCAAGAAGAAAATTAGTGAAGAGTTATATGCCTACCACTCACCTGAATAATTGTTTCCATCCTGAGAATTATGAAGAAGACCACAAGGGCCATCCGGAAATACTCTTTCGCTTGAGATGTTTCTCCTAAAGTTTAACCAGAATCTATTCTTGTATCACTCAGAGTGATTAAATCTACTTTACCTTTTGAGATAGCAAGAAGTACTGAGTGTCTTCTGTATATAGCCTTTGATATATATATATATATATATATATATATATATATATATATCCCCTCACTTTCATCCTGTATGTTTATCAAAGGTAATCACAAAATCCTGTAAAATTTGGCATCAGGACAGTGAGAGCAATGAAATGTTTCATCATAATGTAACCAAAAAGGCAACATTTATAATATACTGACAGATCAACAAAATAATAATAATAATAATAATAATAATAATAATAATTTGCCAATACATCACACAACCCTACACACTTGGGAAGTGTCTGGCATGTGATCCATAGTGATTTTGTTTGCTGTGTACTAATCTTGTTGTGATAATAATAATAATAATAATAATAATAATAATAATTTGCCAATACATCACGGAGTCCTACACACTTGGGAAGTGTCTGACGTGTGATCCATAGTGATCTTGTTTGCTATGTACTAATCTTGCTGGCAACAAAGATCCGCCTAGTCAAAGCCATGGTATTCCCTGTAGTAACCTACGGATGTGAGAGCTGGACCTTAGGGAAGGCTGAGCGAAGGAAGATCGATGCTTTTGAGCTGTGGTGTTGGAGAAAAGTGCTGAGAGTGCCTTGGACTGCGAGAAGATCCAACCAGTCCATCCTCCAGGAAATAAAGCCCGACTGCTCATTGGAGGGAAGGATACTAGAGACAAAGTTGAAGTACTTTGGCCACATCATGAGGAGACAGCAAAGCCTGGAGAAGACAATAATGCTGGGGAAAGTGGAAGGCAAAAGGAAGAGGGGCCGACCAAGGGCAAGATGGATGGATGGCATCCTTGAAG